TGAGGTTCAAGAATTTATGAGGGACACCTTTGCTCCACAGACACTGCCATAGTGCTTGGCGGTCCACAGAGTCAAAGGCAGCTTTCAGATCAAGAAAAACAACCATTGCTGGTTGCTGGGAGCAGTGTCGCTGTTCCAGAATCTGTCGGAGGGTGAAGATATGATCGATGCAGCCTCTTGCAGGACGGAACCCAGCTCGGTTTTCACGGATCTGCCTCTCCCTGTGTTCAGTCAACCTTCGAAGGATATGGCCAGAGAGCACCTTCGATGCCACAGCTATACAAACTGGTGCCACGGTGGTTTTCACATAGCGTCCGTGTACCCTTTTTGAAGATGGGTATAACCATCGACATGCCTTATTCTGCAGGCACTTTCTCTTCGTCCCATATAGCACCAATAAGCTTTGTCAGGTGGGTCACCAGGGATTTTCCGCCTTCTTTGAAGGGGGCTGGATACAGACCGTCCGGTCCTGGTGCCTTTTCACGCTTCAGTACGGCTATTTCGTACCCTATTTCTTCTGAAGGGCGATCAAGGTTTACATTCCATTCGCCCGTATGCATTACCTCCACTGGTTGTGTTGCATGAGGCCAGCTGAACTGCTCTTCGAAGTGCTCGGCCCATGGAAGTCTTAATTCACACAATGTCTAGTGGGGCAAATAGCTCGAACTCGTTAGAAACGGCTTATCCCTTCGAAAAACTATCTATTTTAGGAGCCGAGACAGTGAGGAGTGACGGCAAAACCAAAAAGGTATAAGATTATATGGTTCCCACACAACCCTCCCCGTGGTTTCTAAACTTAAAACAAACTTGACAAATGATACGGGAAGTTTATTTGCAGGGATGAGTAAGGGAGAAGTAACGGTGTTTTCGTGCTGCATCAGTAACGAGCAGCGAATAACATGAGATGACAGATTGGAGCACAGCCACCGGATCAGAGGACTGCACCGGTCGACCGAAACTCGCTAAGCGTAATAATTCAAATTAGTCTTCTTCTTGGCTTGAACCTCCAAAATCGCATCCATGTAATCTTCGTGTGTGATTTCAGAAGCACTGCGTCGAAGTGCAATCATACCCTGAGGAAAATAAAGCATATAAATGAGTTAAATACTAGACTCAAAGACCCAAGTTCGGTGTATATAATAAACCCAGGAGTACAAACGTCGGCCCAAAGTCCGGAGTTACGCATAAAGCGAGCAGTGAGTCCTTTGTAGAAAATGGATGGATGCCAAAGATTACTATTCCGTAGTGAACGGAGGAGAAAAATGAAAAAGCAAAAACCTTGAAATAATCGGTTAAAAAGGGGATTCTACTATCGTTTATATTGTGAAGGGCATGGTCACAAACATAAAAAGTAAATGCAGGCGATGAATGTGGAAAGATTACAGGAGGATATTCGATAAAAAGAGAGAAGAGTCTCATTCGATGTATGCCGACCACATGAACTTCGGAAACGGTAGTAGCGTTCTCCAACGTATATCATTGACAGCAACACACCAAAAATTAACAATAATGCTTGAATGTCGTAACATCATGAGAAAGGAGGCTTGGTAAGTAGTAGAGAAAGGAAGAAGGGCAAGGACCTATTACAAGCAAGGTTACATCACTATGGAACCCGATTACCAACTAAACTACTGTTGAAAATATTCTGCTTATCAATCCAATCAGATTCCTGAAATTATGTTTGATCGGTTCACTATCAGACGGTGTCCTGGGTCATGTTTTACGGATTAGCTGCAACAGTTCTTGTGCATTTCCCACTGCGCTATCCGACTCTATTCTTTCAGCTTGTTGGTTTCACGACGCCTCCCTATCAATATTAAACTTCGTTTGGGTTGACGTCCAACGGTCTCTCCCACTCAGCACACGGCTGGACGAAAAAAAGCTGTGCGAGGCAGACGGCCTTCTACAGTGCGGAATACATGTCCCAACCAGCCTGGCCTATGAAGCGTGAATAATACACCTATCACAGAAGAGTTCCTTCCTCCTAGGAACATCTGCTGTACCTCGGCACTACCAATCCGATATTCCCATCAGACCCGACCAGTGCATCCTAGACACCGATGGTCAAACACTGAGAGCCTTCGTATGCATTCTGTGCGTAGAATCTAAGTTACTGATCCGTATGGAGCACACTGCAGCAGTGTAAACTCTGTCCTTAACAGAGACACTGGCGTCACATCGGCGCTATAGGTATCGGCCCTGGCCTTCCCGACTAGCGGAATAATCTTATCTACAGCCTGCCTACCGGAGCTTATACAACTGCCGAGGTGAACAAATTTATCTACCACATTGTTTGGCTCGTATGCAGGCATGACATTTGGGTTTGGTCCCACCCAGCCTTGCAACAGCACTTTGCATTTTGCAGGTGTGAAGCGCATGCCAAATCGTGCGGCAGTGTTCGGTTTGCTTAAAATGGCCTGCGTTGTTGAAGGATCTGAGAGCAATATCGTAAGCATAGTCTGTCCGTGAGGGAACTTCACGGGAGCATTTCTAAACCGAGGTTTCAGAGTGTGGCAGAGAAATTTCAAGCAGCACATCAATAACAAAGTTGAAGAGCAAAGGTGAGAGCCCCCTTGTCTCGCCAACCGGAAATGGTGGACTGAAGCGAAAACTTAATGTATACTGGTATCCGTTCACAGGAGTTCACATATGGTGATCTCATAAGAAATGTAAGTTTGGAAGGCATACCACTGATCGACAGTCAAAAGCAACTTTCAGATCCAGAAAAACAATCGTTGTCTCAATGTTAGGGTATAATTGATGCATTAGGCGAAACCCAACTTGATTTCATGGATCTCTCGAGATAACCGATCGACTTGTGCGAAATACCAGAGATAGCTTTAGATGTCATGGCTACAAGGCCGATGCCACGAAGGTTTTCGCGTGAAATTATTGCACCGCTTTTGAAAACCGGAAGGATGACAGCCGAGAAGCTCTATTCCACTGATATTCTGTTTTCGTTCCAAATCTTCCGAAGTGTGGTCGTCAAACTTCACCGAGATCTCACCACCTCGCTGGTGACGATTCAGGGTAGAGTATTTGTCACGTTGAGTGACGATATTTTACGCTAGAGTTGTTGCTGGATAGGCAGAAAATATGAACAAAGGGTGATTAGTATTTCGAGTACGAGTGCGTACGGGGACGGCACTGAGGCGACTGTGTTTCAGGTATCCATTGAAGCCCCAACGGAATGCACTTCTGATGCTGAGAAGGATAATTTCTATCGAGAGCTATCCGAGCTCCTTCGTCAAGAAAAAAAAATTCGACCATATGAGCTCCTTAGAATCGCATTTGAGTGGTCGCTTCGGAGTCGATGCTCGTCTCACAGATAACGGAGAGCAGCTCTTCCAATTGTGTGTGATCACCAACCGTTTCAGCATAAACATTTACATCGCGTAACCTGGCAGCCATAAACTACCAATAAACCGCGGACCCAGTTGGATCACGTAACCACCAGCCACCAGTGGGGAACTAAAATTCGGGTGCCATTCCTTCTGATGCATACAAATTGATTCCAATCACGCGATGGTGCATGCACACAGGACAGTTGTTTCCCCTCAAGCCCTCGCAAGTCAGCAAGAAGCATCCCATTTTCGAAGGACTACCATAGCTCAACAGAATCTATCTGTCCGACTTCTCCAATTTGATCACAAGACCGCTGAATGTCATCGAGATCGCTATCCCTGATTGATGCCAGGAAAGCTATACCAGCAGGCAACGAGTTCGACGGCGCACTCAAATCCCTCAAACGCCGAATAGTGAAGAGTCTAAGAGAAGACCGACAGCTCTAGTGGACACCGAAAGCTCGAGAGAGAGGCCTTTGCTACGGGAAACAACCGTGCCCTATATCAACTGATACGATCGACTGACCCTAGGAAAGCAACGGTCAGCGAAACGATAAGTGAAGATGGCTTACTAATTCACTCGCAAATACGTCGAATGATGGGCCGAACACTTAGAAAAACGGTTCAGCTGGCCTCCTGAAACACAGCCTCTGGAGATAATGCACACGGGTGAATGGAGTGTAAACCCTGATCGTCCTTCGGAAGAAAGAAGATACGAAATAGCCATACTGAAACATGAGAAGGCACCAGGATCGGATGGTCTCTATCCAGCCCTCTCCAAAGGCGGAAAATCCCTGGTGACCCATCTGGCAAAGCTTATTGGTACCATATAGTACGAAGAGAATACGCCTGCGGAATTAGGCATGTCGACAGTTATCCCTATCTCCAAAAAAGTACGCTGACGTTGCGTGGAAACCACTGTGGCATTGAGGGCTCTCTGGTTTTATCCTTCGACGATTGGCTGAACACAGAGAGAGGTAGCTCTGCGAAAACCAAGCTGAGTTCCACCATGCAAGAGGATGCGTCGATCACATTTTCACCCTCCGACAGATTCTGGAACAGTGAAACTGCTTCTATCATCCAAAAGTGGCAGTGTTCCTTAACCTGAACTCTTTAGACCGTTGGGCACTATGACACTGTCTGTGGGACAAACATTTCCCGCATAAATTCTCGGTCCTCGTTTCCTTAAGATGCTGTAAACCAATTCTCGCGGACGTGTGAATGTCTATGGAAAGCCCTCGCCTGAGTTTACCATATCAAGTGATGCCAGGAAAAGCCTTCTCTTTCACCTTTTCTCTTCGATTTCGTCATTGATACGATTATGGAAGACTCACTATCAGCCTCTAATGTCTGTGGGGTCGAAGGGCTCCTGTGTAGTCCGCTCACAGATATCGAGTACGCAAACGACATAGCTCTTCTTGGATCTGACACCATGGTAAACAAACAATATTAAATAATCTAAATAATTCTGCCTCAAGGTTTGGCATGCACTTCGCACCTGCAAGGTGTAACGAGCTCCTTCAGGGCTGGATTGGACTCTAACCATAACCTGGTGCTCAATAGGATATTTTCATCCGGTTTGGGAAAGCCAGAGCAGTTTTCGTGGACTTGTATCACCATTGGCGTAGGCGTGACATCAGCCTATTCATCAAGGGTCGAGTTTCCAATGCTGTGGTTGCGCTAGTTTAATTACATGCTCCGTATGTCAATCGGCCGACTTCCACAAAAGGACCCTTTCGGACAACCAAGCGAAGGATCGAAAGGAGCCAGGGGAGGCCCAACAATGACTTCGCAGCGAAGCATGAAACCATTACTGGCCAACTCAGCTGCACTGATCATTGTCGTCTCCTTGGATGGGGACCCCGAGAGAGGATATATCAATGGTTAGAGACATTGTCATGCAGGGTTCCATCGCGCCCTCGATGGCGCTTGCGCATCTAAGCGGTTGCTTCCAATGGTCAATTCCCTACAGATCTTCCCACTGAAAGGTCTACTAAAACTCCAGTGATCACGCGTCAATTACATCAGCTACGGCCTCCAATGCATAGCCACCTATCCCACTTGCCCAAATCATCAGCGACAAAAACTACTAGGACCAGAGCTACCGTACGAAGAATAAACCGTCTCTACAGCTAATGATGATGATTATCATACCTTGAAGTACTGAATGCAATCCTCAATTAAAGTGTCTGCTTCTTCACCGGACGCTCGTTTCCTAACCAAGTCGTGGATACTTCGTCCAGTTTGGTTTAGTTAGAGCTGTGAGATAGTTGGTCAGATCCTCCGCCTGAAGTGAGCAAGTCTCGCGGCCAAACGACAATACTGTAGTCTGATATGGCCTCAAGGAGACCAGTCAATGTGCCCTGTGGCGCCAAATGGCAAAAGCAATTCTGGTCACCGAGATTCGTGCGCTCACTTTATCCGACACACTACCACTGGAACTAATGCGACTTCCGAAAAACACGTGGCATTCCAGAGCTTCCGATGCCAGACCTTGAATTCTTAGGGGTATGTTCAGACCGTATGGCCTGTATCATAACTTTGCACTGTGAGTAAGAAAATGCTAAAGGATTAGATGACCGCGGTCGGCCTTACCAGGAAGTCATGCGCTTCTTAAGCCCCTTTCGAAAATCAGAAAGCCGTCTGCATATTCCAGGTTGACAAACATCTCGCTCGCAGAAATCTGAATACCGGGGTTTCGGAGACCCACCAGTGTATGCTCATCTTATGAACGATGGAATTCAAAATGGAGCAAGTGGATGACGTTGTCGGACACGAATCTTTGTAAGCGAACGGTTGAAGAGCTCCATATACACCACATGCCCACAAGTATGTGAATACAGAAATGGACGACTATCACGGACTCCTGGGGCATACCCTATTGGACAAGCGTGCCGAGAAGTAACAGCTTAAAAGGACTGAACGCACTATTGAGTATCACCAAGCTTTTAGGGCGCCTATAAGCCTGTCGTTGCACTGACGAAGTGTGGAGATGTGGTCCACATAGTCCTTTACCGGTCGGAGTTCTGGATGCAGTTCTTGGGTGTTGCCTCCAAGTGCCTTCGTAAGTCGACGTAGAATAAGCATCGCGAAGAGTATAGGTACAACGGGAGTCAAGCTAATTCCTCTGTGACTGCCAAGCTGTGAGCATCCATTTCGAAAAATTGCACCACTATTAACTCCCTCCAATTAGTCTACACACAAAAACCGGTTGAGGATGTCACCTTCATCTGTGAACAAAGCGGGTGAGAGTTCGTCAAGACCATCAGCTCGGCAACGCCTGAGGGACAGAAAGCATTCGCTTATTTCCGAAGCCAATGGGGCTCCAAGTTCACTATCTGGGGGTGCGTTGCGGGTCGGAAACCCGGCTGAACAACTTCAGGTGGCCAGTTAAATTATTGTTGAACATGTTCAACCCAATGATTCAAGTGCTTCTCTTTTTCACAGATAGGCCATCCGTTGTTATCAATTGTTTCGCTCACCGGAAGCTTCTTTGGACCCGTTATATGTATTAGCTGGAACAATTTAGGCACAATCTCCAAATTTCTCACTTCCTGTCTCTCCGACTATCGGGATCCACTACGCTTTTCGATCCGGGGAGGTGCTGCGTTCACCTGACGACGGACAGTTTGTCAAGCTGTTTTGTAATCTCAATCAGGAGCAATATATGTCCGAGCCTCAAGTCGTTCGAGGTCCAGTACCAGGATCCACTGGTTGAACCGTTCCACAGACGGACCGTCCAACATCTAGCTTGGTTGCGAACGATACATTCCAGTAAGTCAACACCAAAAGGCGTGTTGTCCGAAAGGAACTTAGGTGAGTCTGGTAGACTTGTTGAACTTGTTATGAAGGCTTGTGAATACACAGGTGAGGTGCACATCTCACATGCCCCAGAAAAAGGAGACGCGAAGCAGCAACAAACAAGTGCGTAATCCGAATCCATGTGTTTCAGAGTTAGTGCTAATCAGTAATTGACTTGTGCCACCTACAGCTAACGGTGATGTGTTCTATCTCTGCTGAAGGTTGGCTCACATGCGGGGAGCAAAATAAGACCAAGTGCTTCGGTTTTCTCGCAATTCAATGTAACGTAGAAGTAGTCTATGGTTAGCAAATAACTGCAGCAGGCGTCCGTCGTGCATCTCGATTTCAGTCCACGATGATCACCCGATGGAGCCCCAGCAGCGCTAAGTCTACTCGCTTACACATTTATAGCCCTATCAGCCATAAAAATATCTGGGCTCTTAAGCACTCAAAGCGTCGTTAAATTGTCTTTAGAGGTGTAAGCAGATACAATGAAAAGGCAGCGTTCATCGACGCGTTTACAGGATACTGTCAAGACGTTACCAAACGAACTGTAGAGGCGATTATCAAAGGGCAACTACCAAAGCAGACAACCTTCAGCTCGGTGGTTTAGAACAATGCCAACCCCAGCAGAAACAACATCAGCGGCTTCTGGATCACCAGAGGTGCGCAACTAGAAGCGAGCAGAAATCCATGGGAAGGTCAGTCCAACAAATGTACTTGTTTCAGACAGACAGACAGCACACAACAACAGAAAGCGAGTCCAGCGTACATCCAGAAGCAGTCCACTGTCCAACCTGTTTCAGAGCGCAAACGTTGAAGGCTACCAGATGAACTGAGCTCTGTATTTTGAAGGATGATTTCGAAATGTCTGTGGACGTGGCGGCCGAGTTAACGAAAAATAATGCAGCCAGTGGGTGAGTGGAAATCAACGAACATGTGAAAGACAAAACGGAAGGCGTCATCAGTAGCCCGTCTTCGCATACCCGCCCTGCTGTACGCAGTAAAAGAGGAGACCGAGCTGATGTCACCACGCAACAGCTGAAGTGGCACGAGATTATTTGTAAGTGTGAAATTAATGGTTGTGCCAGGGTGCCCGCACCTATACGGGAGGACGAGTAGTGTTGGCAACCAAAGCCTTTGGCTCAAAAGCCTAACCACAAGGCAGCGATGGTTGGTCAGAGCAGTTCGTCACGCATTTACCAAGCCCCAACATGAAGTACCACGAGACTGTTCGTCAGAACTCTAACCATTTGCCGTTGACAACCGACAGGTGGTAATTCGGTATGCTAATTTGACCCAGTCACCTTAGCTTGCAGTGCGGGATGCATTTGTTAAGTGAAGTACCGTCTGATTCATCCAAAACCTGCCTCCTGATCACCTCCTTCCGGATTCGTTGGTTTCAGCCGACTCCAGCCATAGTCCTGAGATATCGGTGGTCAAAGACCTGAAGATGTTTCAGATCCTTGAATCGAAGTAGCAAAGTCTCATACCCGCACACTAACCTGATATACGCGTCCTTCGAAACTCATCTATATGCTCTGTGGACGCCACAAGCAGCGCAGATTTGCAGAAGCAGTTCTGACCACTGAGATTCGTGCATTCAATTCATCCGTAACAACACCGTCGGAACCAATGCGACTTCCAATATACATGCAGCATTCCGCAGTTTCCCGTTCCAGCCCTTGGATTATTAGAAGCATGTTCAGAGACCGTACGCATGACAAATTAAGCCAAATATTCAGATGTCAGAAAGTCAAACTGACAGGAAGCGACAAGATGTCATTGCGTGGTCGCCATTCAGACAGACAGCGTATTTGCCATCATACGTTGAAGCGCTAGAAACAGCAACCATAATGCCAAGGTTAATTACAAACCGCAGGTTTCAGTGCTAAAAGCCGGTGCTCTTACACGAAAGTTGCCCAAAACCAATCAGTGTGCAACGCTCGCGGACCATAATGCGCCGTGAGTGTGACTTGTGAGTGATGTTGAACACCCACCCAAATTAGACACGGATACAGATTAATCCGTGTGATTGTGTCCACTTCGTTAGATAGTCACAGTCCGTAAAATAAACACGACACTACCCTCTTCACATCAGTTTGCAGACACACCAGACAGAGAGTATTCGGATGCTCAATGTAAGCCACACACAGTAGTACCCAATCCTATAGTTTGAAGTGACCAGCAAGAGCGAAAAAACGTAAACACAGTGGTCAGCACTATCTATGGTCATCCATACTTGTAGATCGAGGTCACAGGCCCTTCGGTCTTACATAAAAGCCACTGCACTGCAGGATTTCCAGGGGTCGATGACTACATGCAGCATAGCCAGTCAAACATAAATGTCGCAACAATAGGGCTTACAACAATGATATTAACAAATAAAACCTACTGCTTCCACGCATACTGCCTTGCACTGCGCCCCATTGAAGTCATCTGTACAGCGAGCTAGCTCCTCGAAATTTACATCTTTACTGTAAACAAAAATGAGCTCATATGGCGTCAAATTAGGCAAGCGATTACTTGACATTCATTTTCCTCGAATGGATTTGCATAATTCGAGCTCGTGCTTCCTCGTTTGGAGCAGGAAATTCAATTTTTCTGTCCAGCCGACCGCTTCGAAGCAATGCAGGATCGAGGATATCCACCCTGTTTGTGGCAGCAATTACCTTAATATTGTGGTTGGGTTGAAAGCCATCCAACTGATTGAGTAGTTCTAGCATAGTTCGCTGTACTTCTCGGTCACCAGCACGCTCGCTGTCAAAACGCTTAGTACCTGAATGGTGAAGAAACCGAAAATGAAAATCTGAAATGTCAAACTGGATACCAACAAGACGAGTAATGTAGCACGTTTCACAGAACATAACTAAACAATACCTTCATTTCTAAACCTACGTCCGTAAACCGCCTAAAAGGGTAACTCTGAACAAATTCCTCCAGGAAAATTTTTCCTCCAAAGTTCTCTTCGGTGGGGGGGCACCAAAACCATACAGAATTCTCCAGCAGATTGGTGTTGCGATAATAGCCCCTGAAACCACCTCAAATTTGCCAGTCGACAGTGATGTGAAACAACTCACCAATGATTATAACGCACTATCAAGAGATAAGAGTTGGCTTGACTTGGCTTGAACTATAGTTTAGTCTCGGCTTTGAGCAACATGGCATTCGCGTTGTGATAAGAGTGGGACACGACGAACTCGGGTAACAGAAGGAAAATTAAAAGTGCCTCCTGTTTTGATGTTCAGAATCCAGATAGACAGCACAATAACTGGTCGGTACTAACGACCCACATCCAAAAGCCAGTGATCAGCATGAACATTCGCACTGCCATCACGTGCCATTTAGAAATGTTAAAGATGTTCGAATAGCTGGGCAGTACTTTATGATCAGAATAAAGAATTTCACCACACTCTGGCAGGAGAGGTTGAGAATACCCGAAGGCGACTCACTGTCCGTAATCCATCTCCAAAAAGGGGAGCCTCTAAACGAATCTCTATCCTCACAAAATGACACTACTCACCGGGAAACTTTCACGATACATTGGAAACCACTATCATTAGACCTGAATGAGAAAGTCACCAAGGCCAATTCGTCACCATTCATGTACATAACGAGGAACATCCAATAAACATCTTTAGGCTGACTATTACTTGCAGCATATCGGAGAATTCGTTGTTGGTGAGTCACTAAGGACTTAGTGAAGATCACGTGGAAGAGACTGTAAGGGTCAGTTGGGAGCTTTTGGGTCATACGATTCCAAACCAATAACTGATCGCCCTAAACAGGCACAAAGTATTCTGAGCACGAATATTCAATACAGCACACGCCATATGCACCTCAATCATCTTACCAGCCATTGTAATCAAGCCCGAAGGAACTGTTCACGCCATGCAGTATTCTTGCGTGACCGTAGACCCCAAATTGTCCCCACGATTGTGGTAGGAGATTAGGATAATGAGCAGCTGCCGATACATACAAATGGCCAGAGAAAATTCAGGTATCTTACAACAGTTTCTATCAGTGATCAGTCATCACCATCATCAACGACAGCGTGACATCAGTGCTCAACACCAATGCTTCACTGCTGTACAGCCATGACTTATTTGAAAGCCTTATTGTAAAGAAAAGAATAAAGGTGGACGGGGAAGGGACGTAGTGCTAGCTTAACACAATCATTCCGAGGTGCCTACACCTCCAGACATTCACTCAGGCAATCTGGATAGAAACTGACAACAAGAACGCCACTGACATCGGGTGCCAGCCATATCTTGTAGTGTCTCCAACCAGGCACAGTAAGGATCACGCGGTCTCCATCCTGGAAGGCGAGTAGCACCGACAGCACCCAAGCGTTTCGTCATCTCCTTCATACTCCTCTGCCAGGTCATGGGTTGGCCACCTCTCTGTTTACGCCACTCCGAATCGGG